GCAGCGCCTCACGGCTCTCCGAACTTCCGAGCGAATGGACAGACACAGAGACAAACACACAGACAGAGAGACACACACAGAGAGAGACACACAAAGAGAGACACACAGAGAGAGACACACACAGACAGAGAGACACATAGAGAGAGACACACACAGAGACACACACAGACAGAGAGACACACAGAGAGAGACACACACAGACAGAGAGAGACACACACAGACAGAGAGACACATAGAGACACACACAGAGACACACACAGACAGAGAGACACAGAGAGAGAGACACACACAGAAAGAGAGAGACACACAGACAGAGAGACACATAGAGAGAGACACACACAGAGACACACACAGACAGAGAGACACACAGAGAGAGAGACACACAGAGACAGAGAGACACACACAGAAAGAGAGAGACACAGAGAGAGACACACAGAGAGAGAGACACAAAGAGACACACAAATACAGAGAGAGACACATAGAGAAAGACACACAGAGAGAGACACACACAGACAGAGAGAGAGACACACCTAGAGGGACACACACAGAGAGAGAAACAAAGACAAAGATCCCCCGTATAGCCTTAACAGACTGTAGGGGCAAGTGCTGTGAGTAAACACCTATGAAGGCCGGCACGGCACACGATGGGGTGAGAGAAATAACAGAGCCCTTTGGTGGCTTATCACAGGACAGGATTACTGGAATATTTCATTTTAAATTCATTAACTTACATTTCCTTTGTGGAGACATACATGACATAACATGTGATACTGTACTGTAACAAATTTGTGTGTCTGCTGCATATTAAAGTCTTGGCTGCGTGAGTGACGCTAAAACTAACGTTGCTCCCAGTAATCATAGATCCGTTGAAGTATTAAAATGCATATTTTAAAAATACAATAACAGATCTTGTATAAATAGTTCTGGAATTTAAGTATGGTACATAACCGTGCCGATAAATACTGCTACAAATGGCGAAGTAAAGAAAATAATAGTTTATGAAGTGAATGTTTTTTTAAAAAATATTTTACCGGCGGTTGGATTTGAACCTGTGACCTTTGAACTCCTGACGCCCGGCGGCGAGGTTTGTAAGTATATAAAACACAATAATAATAGAATTAAAAAGGGGGTCTAAGGCATCACGGTACTGAATGAAGCTACAGGCAGGCGCGACACCTTCTCACCTAATGCTAGTGGATTGATTTTGAATGGAAGCCCCTCCTACGAATTTGGTGGTTCCCGGAACCTGCGTTAGACCCCCTTAATAAAAAGTCAAGGGGCTTAGCCCAGTGCGCCACTGCGCCAGTTGATAACCAACGGCACATCCTGGCCATATAACTGCTACCTGTCCCCCGGCCGTACATCTTGGATATATTAATCGCATTTTAAACATTAACAAATCCGGTGTACATACTTTCAGAATATTTTGTTTAATGTCATCCTCCCGATAATCACCGCAACAAATGACTAAGTAAATATGATTGTTTGAAAGTCATTAAAAAAAGTATTACTCGGGTTGGATTTGAACTCGCGACCTATCGACCTACGCCGCCGCCGTGTGGCTACGGTAGAGTATTGCACTCCGGGCCTATGGCGACACCTTTGATGGCTCATCACGGTACAGAATTACTGCGATATTTTATTTTAAATTAATTAACTTATATTTCATACGTGGAGACGTATACATGACATGTGATACTGTACCTCGTCGCGAATGTCGTTTTTGTTGCAAGCAGTACCGGTAAATGCGTGAATAAAAGGTTCCTGGTTTTACACACTTAGAGAAATTTAGTTATTTTTATATTTTTTTAATGAGAATCTCAGAAATTCTGCCGTTGTAATTGGTTCACACTCTGGACTTGACAGCGTTGTTTTACCGGTAATGCAACAACATCGGTGTCGAACAACCCGTGGTGTTTGTAATTCAAAGTTAACGGGCTTGGTCAGGACTTCTCGCGAGACAGATGGTGAGCAGTGGTCGATACGGGCGACGGAGTCGCAGCCAAGGGAGGTGCAGTGCCTCTGATCGATCCACGGAGGAGATGGAGCAATGAAATCAGCTCGCACGCACCTTGTTAGGTAGATTGCAACATCACAGGACCGTGAGAGACAAACGACTTCAAGAGCCCTTTATTCAGCAGTGGCGCAATCAAGGCCGATAACGATGATCACGATATCAATACGCACGACTATAGTTGTTATTGGAAACATTACCACGCGGTAATTAACGTAAGGAGTAATCGTGATTGTACAGAACATTGCGGCAGAACAAGTCCCGTGAGAACTGCGCCTCTTGCAGTCGTAGTGGGTTCAACTAGGCCTCGGCAAGGTAAGGTAAAAGGTAAAAGCAACGAGCCTACCTTTACCCTTCCTTTTACCTTACCACAATACAATCACTCCACCCTACCTCTTACCCTTTAGCAGGTAAGGTTAAAAAGCAACGAGCCTACCTTTACCCTACCATTTACCCTTACCCCATACAAATTACCCGATTACAGGGTAATTACTGGGGTACTACTACACATGAAATAGGTTTATAACAGGTAAATGCTCGGTAGAGCGCTTAATTAATATAGAATACTCTCGATTATTCCCATTTTACACGCTTGTTGTCGTTGTTGTATCCTCAAATCTTGTAACTCAATTGTAACCCACTTCCCAATGTGGTATCGACTGCAAACTTGGTATAATTATGTCATACTGATGACAATACTATATTCTATCATAAAAAATAAATATTTTTAAACATTCTTTTTTATATGTTATGTTTCGGCTTGGGTCTAATTGTCTACTGTCAACTGACGTTGGCTGTAATTGGCCACAGTCTCCTTACGTTGTGGCAAGCTTCGTGGCCACTTCCTGGAGTCGTGGAGTTCTTCCATTACTCGTATGGTACATTTCATTAAAGCGTGTTTTTAAAATAGTTAAAAAAATATATTTCTTATTAAATGGAGGCCCCGGACTGCGCCACGGAGCTTTTAGCGTTAAACAAGGCACCGTATTTACCGGGTAATACTTCGCGCTACATTTACCCTACCGGGTAATTCTTCCGAGCTACCTTTACCCTACCCATTACCTTACCCCTTGGCATGTCGACACCTTTACCTTGACCCTTTTACCCGGTAAAAAGGGTAAATTACCTTACCTTGCAGAGGCCTAGGTTCAACTGAGACGTACTCTTCAACTCGGAGGCAGCGTATGTTATTCTTGAACACACCTAGGTTGGTGACCACCCTGGCCAACTACGTAACAACTGCTAACGTGGGCCGGGGCTAACAGCATACTGCCCGGAGCACGTGCTTGAATACGTGCGAAACGTAGAACGTAGACGAAGGGTTGCTTCCCCGGGATGGACAGCCAAGAGCCCTTTCGGGATTCGGCTTATATTCTATCCGGCTTAACGTTAACAGGTCCCTGCAGGGTGGGCTGGTAGGACAAGTCTCTGCGCTGTCTATTGCTGATTTTACACCCAACAGCACGAGATTTCACTTCGTTAAAGTATTGAAAGGGGACGGACGGACACATTAATCTATTGCAGGCTGGTACACTCAGTTTACAACTTCGTTCCTACCAGTAAGAGAACGTACATTATTTTACATATTTTTTAAAAATATAATTCAAGTACACCTGGCGTTCAGAGAGGGCACTTGCCAATAACATCTTGTCACACAGTAGCAGTGTGACTGCTGATGAGACCCAGAAGGGCAAAACCAGTTGAGAGTTGTCGACTCGACGTTAATGATTGAATAACCTGGTGAAGTTTGAAATACATCATCACTGGGGAGACAACTTAAACTGAACTTTTTTTATTTTCCAGGTAAGGCTCACTGAGCTATATACTGTATAGCTCTTTTTCAGAAGCGACCTGGTTATCACAAATAATAGCCCAACGTAATTGCTTATCACACGGACATTTATAGCAGCCAAATACTACAAATGTGTGCTCATTTTTAGTGAGGGAAAAGTCGGAGGACCCGGAGATAAATCCACCCCATCACTGGGAGAGAGACATGCAAGCATCAATCAGGGTGGTTAACGAACCCACGACCTGCCTACCAGGCAAAGTAGTTGACATTTTCACGCAGGAATTTTGAACCGTGCATGAACTTCCTCCAGGCCAGAGCGCCTCATAAGGAAACGCTGTTATAAGAGGCAGCCTGTACATACTGTACAAGGATGACATATATTTATCATAATGGTACTATGTAAACGCTTTCATTCTTGTCATCATCATACTGTTGTTTGTATAATGAAAGATGCGTTACTTTTCCTGTCATTCTGCTATAAACTTTAGATACAAACAATGTGAGCCCCTGTGCACGTGGCCACCTTTCAGCGACCTTTCCAGAGAGATGGGCGCTAATGGTCACGTAACTTTCGAGCAATATAAGGGCAACTGTTGCCAGCAACGCATTAAACATGAGCAACTATGGTAACTCTATGCAATAGCATAAAGCAGCAGGGTTCTGTGTAGCCGAGGCAAATGGAGATTGGCAAAAAGTTGTTTGGCTAACTGGGATTGGTCTAAAGAGTACACAGTGTTGGGTGGTCACATGACCTCTTTTTGGAAATTTCTATCCCATTTGCGACGATCAACTATCGGACGTGTGTTGAATAGAGCAGCAACGTTTCTTGTAAAATCGGAAATGGTGCGGCAACAACTTCCATAAAAAAATTTCTTGCGCGTACCACGGTGTGCGGGTGTCGTTTGAGCCAACTGGGATATAATTGGGAATAACATAAAGCTACACCGATGACTTGGACCTATCCATTCTGTGACCACCTCTCTCACTTTCCAGATGGAAGCGTCCTCACGCTCAAGTTGTAGCCGAGGCAAGGCGACCTCCGGCTATAGCGCCGCCTTTTCCGAGAAGCTGCCACCACTGATGCCGCTGCTGCCACCGCTGCTGCTGCCACCGCTGCTGCTGCCACCGCTGCTGCTGCTGCTGAATGTGGCCGTGGCGCAGCGCGAGAGCGCAGGCCCCGTGTCCGTCCTCTCGATGCTGCGGTGCAAGCAGGCGGACGTCGCCAAGAAGCTCTCCTCCGGATACGGGCGCTTCTGCCACGCGAGGTTCCGCCACGCGGAGCCCCGGGACGAACTGGAGTTGTGCTGCATGGTGAGGCTTGGCTGGAGGGAATGCGTAGAGTGAGTGAGGGAGGGAGGCACCAACGCTGCGTTGGGGTGATGAATAAAGGCCTCCCCAAACCGGATTTGCTATGGTCTCTCCACAACAATACTTATGATATAGATTTATGTATTATATGATTTTTCATAGAATTAGGACCCATAATTAAAAAAAATCCTTACCCGATAAATATCTGGTAGATCACCAGCATTGGTTTAAGCCAGCGTGACTTGTGGTGATACACTGTATGTTGATACTGGTCCAGAATCTGCTTGTGTTATATCAATGCTGATTGAATTACACACTCACAGAATGCCGTGTAGATAATGAGATGTTAAAAAATGTATTTTCATGTGGAGGGAGCGATATGTCAAGGAGGCATATTGTCTGCCTATTTATTTCATCCATAAGTGGATTAACAAAGAGCTGTAAGAAATAACATATATTTCCTTGTTTAAGTTCATTTAGTTGTACCGGGGTTCTCACCCATTTGATACCAAAACATCTGCCAAAAAAATTTGAAACTGACGCCATCCAGACTGCCACTCTACGCCCGACCTTATGGAAGAGGTACGTTGATGACACCTTTGTCATCTGGCCACATGGCCAGCCTGCTCTAGACCAATTCCGCGACCACATCAATTCCATACACCCAGCCATCAGATTTACCATGGAGGTCGAAAAAGATGGCAAACTACCCTTTCTGGATGTCTTAATTAAAAGGAGACATGATGGTTCAATGAGCCACTCTGTCTACAGGAAAGCTACCCATACAGATGCTTACTTGAAACCGGATTCCCACCACCATCCATCCCAGAAGAACTGCCTCATCAAGACTCTATACCATAGAGCCCAATGCATTTCCGACCAGGAACACATTACCAGTGAACTCAAACACGTACACCAGGCTCTCAGGGCTAATGGCTACTCCGACTACACAATCCGCAAAGCCATCACTCCAGTCATGAAGAAGGATCCTCTTGTGGAGCCACTCAAAACCATCACCTTACCCTACATTGCAGGGGTCACTAAAAAGATCTCCAAAATCCTGAATAAACACAAGATCCAGGTCCGATTCAACACAGTACACAAAATCCGTGATTTAGTTCCATCTGTAAAAGATGCTCTTCCAGACATACAGTACCCGGGCGTTTACAAACTAAAGTGCCTCTGTGGTAGTAGCTACATTGGAGAAACCAAAAGACATATCTCGGATCGCATCCGCGAACATAAAGCAGACTTGAAACACGGTAAGACGAACTCCTCTGCCGTGGCAGATCACTGTTACAATTCAGTGGGCTCACATGACATTGACTTCTCCAAGACGGAGGTTTCTTTGCAAACCAACTGGCTACCATGAGAGATTCGTTCATGAGGCCATTCACATATACAAGCACAGAGACAATTTCAACCGAGAAGATGGATTCAGGCTCAGTAACCACTGGAAAGATGTGTTAAATCATTTCTGTTCTTAATTAATTGTAATTTTACGATGACCTTCAGACCGCAGCTCTTTCGCCAGCATTGCCTCTTAATACCTCTCACACCACGGTTAATGGTATGGTTTACAACATGGAGTATACTAGGGCTTCGCAGCTGTCTCTCTCCCCCTCCTCTGTTCCGACCATGGACGAACTCGTCCGTCTGAACGGGGCCCGTAGCTATCCGTGGTACGGAAATTTGAGGGTAAGAATCCACCCATTTTTTCGCCATATAGCATTGTGATATATAACGACTTATGGTTGGTAGCTTAGCTGATTGGAGAATATAGAGTTTATTGATAACATGAAGGTAATTTATATTTTAGTTTTTATTGGTTCACTATATAGTACTGTGAATAGCTCAGATTTGTAGTCATTTCTGTGACCAGTCACTAGCAAATCACCCAGTTATTTCAATGCTAAATTCGCCTAGTTATTTCAATGCTAAATTCTCCTGTTTTGATTTGTACTAAGTGCTCGGTGAATGGGTATGCTCTGACTTCAACGTAACTATTTCTGTAGCAGTTACAAGCGAATGCCTTAATTTAGCTATTTCAATGCTAAATTCTATGCTAATTCCTTTTAACAATGGGTGCCTCTGCGGATGTGTATGCTTTAACTTTTAACATAGCTATTTCTGTGACCAGTCACAAGTTAATCATTCAGCCTTTTCAATGCTAAATTTTATGCTAATTCCTTCGTCAAGGCTCTTTGTTCCTCTCACACAGCTTAAAAGCCGTGATCTGAACGTGGCTCTCTCACTCCAGCGCTGTCCTACCAGACAGTCTCGCTCCCTTCACCTGATGAAGGCCGCTTGTGTTGTGGCCGAAACGTCGTGAGAATATTATTGTGTTATTTTATTTTATCAATTTATAATTTTATTCTCATTCTACGTGACTTTACCGAAAGAACCAAAGAAGATCTGCCTGTCTGCCCACATGTTCCTTGGTCCATTCGTCCACCCCCGTGGCTAAAGATGGCCCACTGCTGTGCCTGCACCGCCATCCTCGACTACTGCCAGTCGGAGAGTGGCCTTACAAACGCTCGAGGCCAAACTCAAGGAGCGGCCCTCTCGCAAGACGCACGAACTGCTAACGAAAATGCGGGAGACACCCGTGGATTAAGAGAACAATGCAGGAGACGCTATCAATGAACTCACGTTCACTGACAGGAACAACACGAGAGACACTGTCAATGAACGGCTTCTTAACCTATGCCCCCCCCCCCCCCATTATTCAGCCGTCCTCATCTATCTTTCAGGCTGAAATTTCCATAATGGAGGTGGGGGGGGGCTATGAGATGGGGTTCAAGAGACACATTGATTTTTAGCAGGCCAAGATTTTGATTTGGGGCTTGTTTCAGAGCTTCACGGTTCGGCTCCAGCGGCTGCCCCGGTTACTACTGAAGCGCCATTCTGTCTTCACAGTGGACGTTAAAGTTCCCGTGACGTCATTTGCAATAATGGTTCGTTGCGTGTGCCAGCGTCACCATCGAAATTTTGCCAAATAAAAAACATATCCGCAAATTACTCAATTGGTATTTATCACAACGAGTATCGCCCCCGACTAAGAAAACCTGGCAGGAGCCTCCTGCAAAGAGTCATCATGAGATGGGGGAGGCTTTCCTGGGCAACCAAGCACACTCATACAGATAAAGAACTTTGGAAGATAAGATAAATAATTTCGATTTAAAGCTTTCGTGACTGCAATGATTCATCTTCTTTGGTTCTTTTGGTAAAGTCACGTAGAATGAGAATAAAATAATAATAATAAATTGATAAAATAAAATAACACGACGTTTCGGCCACAACACAGGCGGCCTTCATCAGGTGAAGGGACGAGACTGTCTGGTAGGACAGCGCTGGAGTGAAAGAGCCACGTTCAGATCACGACCTTTAAGCTGTGTGAGAGGAAACAAAGCGCCTTGACAAAGGAATTAGCATATAATTTAGCATTGAAATGGCTGAGTGATTAGCTTGTGACTGGTCACAGAAATAGCTATGTTAAAAGTTAAAGCATACACATCCGCAGAGGCACCCCTTGATAAAGGTCGTGAGAATATTATTGTGTTATTTTATTTTATCAATTATTATTTTATTCTCATTCTACGTGACTTTACCGAAAGAACCAAAGAAGAAGATAAATAATTATTGAGTGTAAAGAAAATTGTATTTTATGCATGAGTACTATCTATATTAACATGCGAATCAAGGACACACCTTACTAATTGGCTGTGGCGGGTTTAACGACGCACTTTTGTTTACACAATCAGACCCGAAAACTCTTTATTAAGGAGTCAGATGCTAACTTAGCCGCTCAATAGTAAGTTGCTAGTATTTGACTAGAGGTGTCTGCGATACGGTGAGTAATTGCAACACAAAAGGAGGATATCAAAGGAATTATCACCACCATGAGGATGACTCGGGATGTACGCTCATATTCTTAGGGTCTTTCGGTAAAGTCCCGTAGATATGTTCAAAGAAAAATGACCAAAAAAAACCTACGACGTTTCGATTGCAACACAAGCGTTCGAAACGTAGTTTTTTGTTTGTTATTTTCTTTGAACCCTATCTACGTGACTTTACCGAAAGACACTAAGAATATGAATTCCTGCAGTCACGAAAGCTTTAAGTCAAGATTTATGTACGCTCATTTTGAAGCACGCGGTGTGGGCAGAGCGGTGGGAATGATTTAGCTTCGCATTCTTCAGCAGGTGACTTCGAGCTCTTAAGTGGGAGGCACCGTAGACATCGCGTTGGTACAAGGACGGCGATGACCTCACGCATCGCGAACGTGGGGGGATCAGTGAGACTGGCTCTGTATATATGGGACCTTTTTTGCCCGTATCAAAACGATTGAAAATAAGAATAGCTTTGATCTTTCCTGGCAATAAAACAAGATTTTGATTTAAAGCTTTCGTGACTGCAGGGATTCATATTCTTGGTTGTTTCGGTAAAGTCACGTAGAAGGGGAAACAATAAAATAATAAAAACAAATATATAAAACATATTTTTTATAAAACATATATTTTTATAATTTTATTGTTTCCCTTATACGTGACTTTAACCGAAAGAACCAAGAATATAGGTGTTAAGATGTTCAAACACCAAAACAGATACATACTCTTTGGTTCTTTCGGTAAAGTCACGTGGATAGAAAATTAATAATAATCTCTGATAATAATTGCATTGTCCTTAAAACTAATTGGCCTACACCAGAGACAGCCTTCTTTAGGGCATTGTCTCGCCACCAGTGTGAGACCAGAGAACGCCAAAGGATGAACAGGACCAAGGCAATGGAAGTATCAGGACACTTATAGCTCGGGTTGAGCAGTTTATGTATGGGAACTTTTTTCCAGTATCAAATATGATGCAGAATAAGAACATATTTTCGGTGTTCACAGCTCAACTAATTTAATGTTATGCGCCACTATCCTATTACTCGCTCTTCGAATTAATAAAGAATGTGGTTAACCTGTTTAGTTTTCCTACCCCTGGGCTTCAATGGCTCGTGTTTAGAAAAGTGCTGGAACGTGGCGTGGTATTCTCCTGGGGGTGTTAACCATCGGCTCGGCTCGTAATTGTAAACTTGCACGATCCCATGCATGCGAGTTACCCGGTTTGGGTTCTGAAGCTGCCAAAGTGGACACTCTGAACTACCTATACACCACTTAAAGGTACACTATGTAATACACAACAGATCCCCCATATAACAGACTGTCGGGGAAAGTGCTATTAGCGAGCACCTATAAAGACCGGCACAGCACACGAGGGGGTGGGTGGCCAGCACCACGCCCGGCCGCCTTTGTCTCCCCCGTGGCGATGGTTACACACCGCACCAGGTACTCATTTAAGGCTGAGTCGACCTAAGGGAGGCCCAGGACCGGTTCAGATAATCGTCACTGGGTGTTAGCCGTGAGTGGGAATTGAACTCGGGTCGCCGGGTTCGTAGCGCAGCGTAGCGCTAACCGCTACACTACCGCTCCCCACACATACACGCCGTACATAATACTCCTGAAGGTATTTTTTTTGCAGAGTAATTATTAAATTTCGCATTTTAGTCTTTGTAAACACAATGCTATGTCACCTGCTGAACATAAAATCTATATGATTAACTATAAATAACATTTTTTTTATTTTACTAGGTAAGGCTCACTGAGCTATATAGCTTATTTTTTCAGAAGCGACCTGGTCATAAATGATAGCCCAACAAAGTGGCTTATCACGTGGACGTTTATCGCAGACAAATACTCTAAACGCGTGGTGACGTTCATAATTATAAATGTGGAAGGAAAAACCGGAGGACAAGGAGAAAAATCCACGCGACTACGAGGAGAGAGAGACACGCAAACTCCAAATATACAGCAGGCGTCACGGTCGGGATTGAACCGACGACCGCCTGCACACCAGGCGAGGTAGTTAACATCTCGCCACCGTGGCGAGATGTATAGGAAATAAAATAAGTAATATATATTAAAAAACTTAAAAAAAAAACACGCTTTAATGAAATGTACCGTACTAGTAATGGAAGAACTCCACTACTCCAGGAAGTGGCCACGAAGCTTGCCACAACGTGAGGGGGCCGTGGTGATTTACAGCCAACGTGAGTTGAGCGTGGACAATTAGACACAAGCCGAAACATAACATATAAAAATAATGTTTTAAAATATATGTTTTTTAATGATATAATATAGTATTGTCATCAGTATGACATAAGTATACCAAGTTTGCAGTCGATACCACATTGGGAAGTGGGTAAAAAATTGACTTACAAGATTTCAGGATACAACGACACCAACACCAACAGACAGAGTTAATAAAAAAGCGTGTAATAATAAAAAAACGTGTAATAATGAAAAGTAAAACCAATGGATTGTTCTCGTGATGTATAAACACGCGTAGGTATAGTTGCATGTCGCTAAATGTTGTGAAGAAAGTGCCATAGGAGACAGACTTACCGAAACGTGGAGTGGAGCAAAACAGTCGACACGCCAAATTACTGGGGTCTGCCCTCAAGGGCGACGAGTGACTGCCATTTGGGCACAGTAGCCACTTCAACAACAACTACCAGGTCGGATTACACCCCGACAATAAGCCCATGATTTTCACAATTATTCTAGTGGCAACGGACAGCATTCCATTGATGTACCGTGCATGATGCAAATAACCCTTGAATAGTAGCAACGCATCATTAGACCTCCTTTGCCAGTAGCAAAATGTAATAATAGGGTTTTTCCCCTTTTTTCTGGCAACAAAACTTCAACATTTTTACGAGGATTAACGTCTGCATTAACCACAATACCTGCAGTCAAAATGCAAACAAAAAACATACTTTTGATTTAAAGCTTTCGTGACTGCAGTAATTCATATTCTTAGTTTTTTCGGTAAAGTCACGTTGAAGAGAAACAACAAAATAATAAAATATATATAAAACAATAATAAATAAAATATATTTTATTATTTTGTTGTTTCTCTTCAACGTGACTTTACCGAAAAAACTAAGAATATAAAAAACATACTATGATAAAATATGCATTGTCCTTGAAACTGATTGGTCCACACCAATCAGTTTCAAGGACAATGCATATATTATTAATCCTTGTAAAAAAAATTCAGTTTTGTTGCCAGAAAAATAGGGGAAAACCCTATTATTAGTAGCAACGCATTGTGTGTGTGTGTGTCCGATACGGTTCTCGCCGAGAACGTTGAAACTTCACAAAGTCGTCGTAGTATCACTGAAGCAACCGTGACCACGGCCACGTGCGTAGGCTCGCTTGTTGTTGTTGTCATTACAGATCTTCGCAGCCGATGTGTGATGCTTCTTGTGAATAAGTAATATTTAAAAAAACGTTTTAAAAAAAAACACGCTTTAATGAAATGTACCGTACGAGTAATGGCAAAACTCCACGACTCCAGGAAGTGGCCCCGAGGCTTTCCCACAACGTAAGGTGACCCGTGGTGATTTACAGCCAACGTCAGTTGAGCGTGGACAATTAGACTCCAAGCCGAAACACTGATTTTGTAACGATAGAATATAGTATTGCGATCAGTATGACATACGTATAACCAAGTTTGCAGTCGATACCACATTGGGAAGTGTGTTAAAATTGAGTTACAAGATTTGAGGATACAACGACAGAGTGATCTTCTTTGGTTCTTTCGGTAAAGTCACGTAGAAACAACAGAGTGAGTTAAATAAAAGCGTGTAAAAAAAGGTGTAAATGGAGGAGGGTGTAAGGATCGCTATAAAAGTAACATCATCCAAAGCCCTTGCTGGATACGGTTATTTTTTTATAGTGATTCTCCGCTGCCCTTGCACTGCGTTTGTACCAACTACAGAGTATGAAGACTACACTTCGTAGTTTCACGCTTGTAGGATTGTTGCCATGGCTGTACTGCTGAGTAGAAACGAAACTTCACCATTCTCACAATAAAACAATGCCCCATTTCTAAGGGGCCGTCCATAAATGACGCCACGCGATTTTGGACGATTTATGACCCCCCCCCCTCCCAAAAAAAAATAAAACATGCTTCAAATCGCTTTAAAATATTGTCACTGTAGTGCGTATTTAATGTGGCGCTGCACTCTGATGTTGTAGGAGAAAACATTTATAAAAAAGTATATTTATATAAGTAGCACGTTTTAAAGCTTTCGTGACTGCAAGGATTCATCTTCTTTGGTTCTTTCGGTAAAGTCGCGTAGAATTAGAATAAAATAATAAAATAAAACAATAAAATTCTCACGACGCTCTGTCGTCCCGACAGGTTTGTTCCTTTCACCTGAAGAAGGCCACTTGTGTTGTGGCCGAAACGTCGTGAGAATTGTATTGTTTTATTTTATTATTTTATTCTCATTCTACGTGACTTTACCGAAAGAACCAAAGAAGATAAGTAGAACGTGTTGTCTATATTTATTTAAAGTTTGCGCATTTTGATGTGACGTCACATTTCTCACCCCCCCCCCCCCCCCCCCCCCACAAATGTCTGATCCCCCCCCCCTCCTAGGTGCGTGTCGTTATTTATGGACGGCCCCTAAGCCCACCTGCCACTAGATGATATTGAGGCTTCACGACCATGTATTTATATGTACCGGGTATCATGCAGTAGTGGCCGTGTGAACTGGACCACCCGAATTCGATTCCCAGCACCCACGGCTTACATCAGTGGCGAACGACGTCCTCATTCCCGGCCGCGATGTTATATCGGTACTGCATGTGTCTCCAACCACCAACCTCCTGAATCAAACGATAGCCGTGTGTGCAGCGCAGATCGTAACACGTGGAATCGATGTCCAGGGTTTCCTCGAAACCTCCCCCACCCCACCCCCACCGCTGACCTCACCCCCCCTGTCTCGTGCGCGCCCACTGCGCTGACCCACGGAGTGAGACGCGCGCCTTGCCACGTGGGGAGTCTCTCGCATCGCAGCCGTGGCGCGAGCCCGCGGAGATGTGGCTCCGGGTGGGTCCCAAATCACTCCTCGCTCTCACGGTCACCGCCACCTGCCTGCTGATGCTGCTCGCGCTGCTGCTGCTGCTGCCGGCGCCCGGCTCCAGGAGAGCGACGGCGCCCCTGACCCCCCGCGCGCGAGACCCGACCGACGGGAGGACCCAAGCGCCCTCCGAGGGGCCGGGAGGGTCCCGCGGAGCGCCGTCGGGCCCCGTGCACGTGGAGATGACCCGGGCGTGGGAGCGCTGGACCCGTCGGCGCAGCGACGGCGCAGGCACGACGCCCCCCCGGGGGCAGCTGCTGTGCGCGCTGCGGGAGCTGTCTCGGCGCGGCACCGAGGTGCTGCGGTGCCACCGGGCGGCCGGGGCGCCGGGGCGCGACGCGCTGCCCGCGGTGTCCCTCGCCCGGCAGCTGGCGGGGAGGTGGCGGCGATGCGCCGTGGTGATGAACGCGGGCTCCCTGCTGCGCGCTCAGCTGGGAGCGGAGATCGGTGAGGAGATGGCGGGGGGTGGGTGGGAGGGCTACTGAGGAGGAGGAGGAGGGATCGGAGTGGGATGAAGGGTGGGTGGGTGGGGGGTGAGGAAGTTCTTCCACGTGGACAAACGCTGGAGGCAGCTGTAGAGGCATGGGGCTCGGAATGGGCTGAGACAGTCCGAGGTTGCTTGCAAGGTTCGGGGTATTTAAACACACTTGAAGTCCCCGTCGAGCCTAATGTTTATTGAAAGCCCTTTGATCCAATGGAAAGTATTAATTAGGCCCAGGAAGGGTTATTTAGTGTTAAGCAACACACTAACATTGTTACCAATTTGTTTTAAAGCTTTCGTGACTGCAGGGATTCATATTCTTGGTTCTTTCGGTAAATTTCGATTTAAAGCTTTCGTGACTGCAAGGATTCATCTTCTTTGGTTCTTTCGGTAAAGTCCCGTAGAATGAGAATAAAATAATAAATTGATAAAATAAAATAACACAATAATATTCTCACGACGTTTCGGCCACAACACAAGCGGCCTTCATTCACAACACAAGCGGCCTTCATCAGCTGATTAGCCTTGTGTTGTGGCCGAAACGTCGTGAGAATATTGTGTTATTTTATCTTTCGGTAAAGTCACGTAGAAGGGAAACAATAAAATAATAAAAATATAAAACAAAATTCTCACGACGTTTCGACTGCAACACAAGCAATCAAAATCAGGTGTGAAAACCACAGCAAGAAAATTTGAAAAAAAAACGCCACTTTTTTCAAATATTCTTGCTGTGGTTTTCACACCTAATGATGATTGCTTGTTTTGATTGAAAGCTTTCGTGACTGCAGGGATTCATATTATTGGTTCTTTCGGTAAAGTCACGTAGAAGGGAAACAAATAAAAATATAATTGTATTATTTGATTGTTTCCCTTCTACGTGACTTTACCGAAAGAACCAATAATATGATTGCTTGTGTTGCAGTCGAAACGTCGTGATAATTTTATTGTTTTATATTTTTATTATTTTATTGTTTCCCTTCTACGTGCCTTTACCGAGAGAACCAAGAATATATTGTTACCATTATGCAATGTACTTGCAATAATCTATAACTTTTATTTTTAATATAGATGTTATAGTAGTCAGTGACGTCATGTCACGCTCGCCCTCCGGTACGATGACGTCACGTATGGTGACGTCATGCACAAGGGCGCGGGACGGTGACATCATGTCCCCACTGGGATATTTAGGTTGGGACCCGGGACGTGTTCGAGGCCGTTGCGGGGAGCCAGGAACGGGTGAAGTTGAGAGTCGGGACCCAGGGTAGGGGGGAATTGGCACCAGGCTAGGGTAGCCTGTGGGTGTGCTAGGGACCTCCCCAGTACCCTTACCCTGGGGGAGCGATGGGACCCAGGGTAGGGGGGAATTGGCACCAGGCTAGGGTAGCCTGTGGGTGTGCTAGGGACCTCCCCAGTACCCTTTCCCCCGGCGGAGCGATGGGACCCAGGGTAGGGGGGAATTGGCACCAGGCTCGGGTAGCCTGTGGGTGTGCTAGGGACCTCCCCAGTACCCTTACCCTGGGGGAGCGATGGGACCCAGGGTAGGGGGGAATTGGCACCAGGCTAGAGTAGCCTGCGGGTGTGCTAGGGGCCTCCCCAGTACCCTTCCCCCGGGGTGTGGAGTGTAGGCAGTGAGCGTGCAGTACACGGAGTCGTGTGCGAAGAGAGGTCTTTAATAAAACAACTGGCGCAAGCCGCTACATTTACGCCTCAACAACTGGCGTCAGAAGTAAAACCTGTTAAGAAGACAACGATTTACCAAGACGTCTTTGATGGAGGAGGACGGCGAGGGAAGGTTCCCCACATGACCCCGGGGGTTTGCGGCCCGGTTACCCCACTGCATGGTGGCGTACAGCGGCTGGGGGGCTGCGTCTCCACGCCGCCGTCGCCACCGGGGTAAGAGCGCCGCGCAGCACAACGCCGCCCCGCCGATTATTTTTCTTTTATTAATTTTGCTCGGGGCAGCGGTACTGCTCACCGAGCTCCGAGCTGGAGGAGCCGGTTGAACGAGTCGGGGTGCCGGACCCGCGGGGAGACGGCTCCGTTGCCGCTGTTCCCGTGCGCGCGGGAAACCCAAGAAACGCTGCGCGAGTGACCGCCGTTCACGGCCAGGCAGGGTGGAGTTCCCGCCAATATCGTGTTCCCGCTAATAACATGTTACCACCAATATCATGTTCCCGCAAGTAACATGTTCCCGGCAATGACGTGTTCCCGCCAATATCGTGTTCCCGCTAATAACATGTTACCACCAATATGTTCCCGCAAGTAACATGTTACCGCCAATATCGTGTTCCCGCCAATAACGTGTTCCCGCCAATATGTTCCCACCAATATCATGTTCCCACCAACAACGCCATCCAGACTTCCACGCTCAGACCTTCCCTGTGGAAGAGATATGTGGACGACACTTTCGTCATTTGGCCACATGCCCTCCCAGCTCTGAACCTTTTCCTACACCACATCAATTCCAGACACCCCGCCATCAAATTCACCATGGAAGTGGAGAAGGATGGCAAGCTACCATTCTTGGATGTTCTGTTTGAGAGGAGACCTGATGGCTCATTGGGGCATTCTGTTTAGAGGAAACCCACCCACACAGATTCCTACTTGAAACCTGATTCCCACCACCACCCGACTCAAAATAATTATCTCATCAAAACGTTATACCACAGGGCTCATTGCATTTCGGACCAACACCACCTGACCAGTGAATTAAAACATGTGCATCTGGCCCTCAAGATGAACGGTTACTCTGACCGTACCATCCGCCAAGCTGTTTCTCCCTCCATACAGAAACAACCACTTGATACTCCGATCAAAACCATCACACTACCATATATAGCAGGCGTTACTAAAAATATTTCCAAAATTCTAAACAAACACAAGATCTTGGTCCGGTTCAATACAGTACACAAAATTCGTGATCTGATCCCATCCGTGAAGGATGTCATTCCTGACTTACAGTACCCCGGAGTTTACAAATTGATCTGCACCTGTGGTGACTGCTATATCGGGGAGACGAAACGACATGTCTCTGACCGAATTCGCGAGCACAAATCAGATTTGAAACACGACAGAACGAATTCTTCTGCTGTGGGTGATCACTGTTACAACGCTGTGGGTGATCATGATATAGTTTTCTCCGATACCAAGGTTTTCTGCAAACCCACGGGTTTTTATCAGAGATTAGTCCACGAGGCAATTCAGATTTACAAACAGACACAATTTCAACCGAGAGGATGGTTTCAAATTGGAAAAATGTTCTAAATCAAACCAAACATTAAACAAATTTTCAATGGTACAGTATATTCATTCAAGTAGTGGTATCCCAAACTTTCACAGCAGCTTATTTCCCTTCACACCAACATTATGTAAACTCCTCCCCCCCCCCCCACCGTGCCGGTCCAGTACATCATTTTATGCTAATTCCTTTGTCAAGGCGTTGTTTTTGTTTCCTCCCACACAGCTTAAAGGACGCGACCTGGGCTTGCTGTGTTCACTCCAACGCTGTCCTCGTGACAGCACGGTCCCTTCACCTGACGAATGCCACTTGTGTTGTGGCCGAAATGTCGTGATTTTTGTTGTTTTATTTTTTACCTACGTGACTTTACCGAATAGAACCAAAGAGTATGGATCCTTGCAGTCACGAAAGCTTCAAATCTAGAATATATATCGTTATGAAGCCATGTGGTGCAGTCCCCAACTATGATTCACTCGATCTCTCTTGTCTCTATTTATGTGTTATGAAGAAGGTCCATTGCCAAAATCATTGCTTATGACGCTATCTTTTTTTTCCATATTAAGGAAAGTCTTGTTGGCAATTGTTATTTGGACTCGTGCACCACTGACAATACGTTACTCGATCAACAAAGCCACCTGAGTGATACATTTCACCATGAGAGTTACGGATAGGATAACGAATTAAACCTCAAAGCAGGAATGTGTCCACTTGTGCGCTCGTCCAGATGGCCACGACGCGGTTATGCGCTTCAACTCGGCACCCACGGCCGGCTATGAACTTCACGTGGGCACCAAGACCTCCATTCGCCTCATCAACTGGCAGGTAAGGTCGCCACTTTGTTGAGCTGTCACTTGTGGCCGGGGTCGCTTCTGAAATATAAGTTAATCCCTCCCAGTGGGCTTTAATTGGTTAGATCAATATAATTTAGTGGTAATATTTGTAAGATATTTGTTTTTACCTTTCCGACACATGGCACGCCTATCGTGTGTTTGTAATGTTTGTTGTTGTAACGTTCTGACCCCATGCCCCTACTGGACATCTGTGAGGAACAGCTTCATAGCTCATCGGATTCCTCCAGTATAAATACGTATTCTAATAATATTATTAACATTCCTTAAAAGTATGCAATCATCTCTTGACTAGACTTATTTCCCGCACCTCCGATTAGCATGGTTGGCTACGTACGGTGTGAAAGAAGTTCAACATGCTTACATAAGTATTTGTTCTACGGGTCGTTCAGCCAACATTGGGGGGGGGGCATTCTTCACTGAAAAATCATCATTGGCCATGATCATCTCACGATGCTGAGGATGTTAACAATCCACCCAGCACCTGCCGATTACATAGCCGTACCTTGACCACCACAACCACCACCACCTCCAGCCGCCGCCCCGGTAGACGTATTTGTCTAAAATGTTGAGCTCCTTGGCCGTCACTTCTTTATGGACCATTGGCCCGTAAAGTGATGTGTCTTGCCCCAAGCGCACTTGTGTTGCCAAACAGTATGCAAATATAGCCGAAGAAGTTAGCCGCCTCGTGCTGAATGTGAATTATTTTCTCCGCACAGCACCAGGGATAGTAAGGGAAGGGGGGGGGGGGGGCCGATAAGGAGGATATTTGTGAGCCATTTGTTTTAAAAAAGAGAATAAGAATATTTATTTCCACTGAAGGAATCCTATGAGCTATAAAGCTCTTTTTTCACAGACGTCCATAAACAAATACAGGCATAGAAAATGCACAGAAACAAAAGCATGGCCCAGTTTGTATTGCCATTGTCTGACACTTTACCACAAAAGTAACTTTAAAAAATTACGTTTTAATGACAGTATAATTACTTGTAAAAATATGGTAACGGGGGGGGGTGAGAGGAGGGGACGGGTGACACTTACCATAGTGGTAAAGTATGATCAAACAACCCTCACGATTAACTCAGAATGCGGAGGCCTACATCCAATAGTGGATTGACGAAGGGCTATATGTCGTTATTATTATTATTCTTTAAGTACAGAGTACCCTGATGTAGTGGCATAGTGCGGGGCTGCTGGCGAAAAATGGGATTTGCGGTTTACGGCAGTGCTGACGTCAGCAGGCCGTGATATTCACGAGAAGCGGACATCTAGGGGGGGAAAGGCCACAGAAGGGGCCCATCGCGAAGCCTCTGGATCCCGCTCGTAGGTTCCAGAAAGGAGGTGTGGCGGGGGCGGAGCGAGGCCACGCTGAGAGTATAAGAGGGGCCCCTGTGGGGGACCTCGTGGCTGTTGCTGGTAGTGGGATCCCCGTCAAGTCCATCGTCACCATCTCGTCGTCGTCACCACCTCCTCGCCGTCACCATCCCGGGGCGCCGCTAGTCAGACAGCCTACAATAGACGGTCTTAATAATAATAGCGTGTTATCCCGACGGTGCTTGCTAAATGAAGAAGTGCCTCCAAGTCTTACTGTGTCCGAGTTAGTCACTACACTGGCAGAAACTTTCTGTGGTGTAAAAGTTAGCACAGCTGTACTTGCAATCCAGAGGTCGCCTGTTTGATATCCCAGAGCGTTAGTTGAAACAGTCGACAAGTTTAAACTTGATTTGAACCTTTCGTGACTGCAGGAATTACTCTTTGGTTCTTTCGGTAAAGTCACGTAGAAAGAAAATAAATTAAATAATATAATACGATGTTTCTATCGCAACACAAGCAACCGCCATCAGGTAGAAAACAAACCTAGTGAACTTAGAAATACAATGCATCACAACAAAGAGAGTCGGCCAACACAACAGTTAGCACCTCATCTGGTTGATTACGTTCTTCCAAAGATTGCTAAATTTGAGAGAGAGACAAAACACAGACACGGAGACACAGACAGACACACAAGCAGAGTGAGAAAACACAGACACACAGAAAGAGAGAGACACACAACATACACACACACAGACCCAACGCCTCTGTGCCGAGGCCTTAAATAGAGAGAAGGGGGGGACAGAGAGATAAGTGGTGGGTCTGCTGGTGGCTGCTGCTGCTGGAGCAGATAAATTAGCATGTCAATGACTCCACCCTGAAGCGACCGAGGGAAAGACAAGTCGACAAGTGTCTTGAATCTCCGCACCCATGTACACCCAACAGGCTAAATGAGACACTACATGACAGTTGATTACCAGGTCGCGTGTGGTGGGGTTCAGCATTTGTACCCACACCTCTTCCAAGGTAGAGTCTGGCGAGTGTGTACGTCGTGCGACCCCTGTATATGAAACGTATTGTGAGCGGCTGCGGGGCTGCTATTCATGTGACCTGATTCCGGGAATTGTGGGTAAATCCAGATTTGGATAGCCAATGCCATTGTCCACCCTGGAAGATGTAATATCATTGATGTGAGTCGGAGTGGTTGGGTATTGCAACGCAAATGAGCTGTTGACTATCGACTGCCTGACTTGTGAACGAGCTTCCATAAGGGTATTCGTGATTAACCATCCGACCTGCGAATCTGAACTTGCACTTGCGAACCGAATCATGGAACGAGTTCCAGTATTACATGCAAATTTCCAATATTTCTTATTTATGAGTTGAACAATGCTTCCCTTTGTTGAACCGTAACACACTTAAATAATACTGGCCCGATGTGGATTTTAAAAACGGTACGTTAGTGTGTTCCGACTTACGAACTGGGGCCCCATGGGACGGAATGCGTTCGTACATCGGGGACTGTTCGACTTTTGTTTTGTGACGCTTTCTCCCAGTGTGTGAATAAAAAGTGCAGCTTTTTAATTGCTTCCTCACACCACCTCCGGCAGAAGGAGGTAGCTCTAGAATCGTGGTTCTCATCCAGTTTGACGCAGACCCCTGGGGGTACGTGAGGTGATTTGTATTAATACGAGAATTTATATCATACGTGAGAGTAATTGGTGAATAATGACATATGAATCTGCCAACATTAAATATCTCCGATAAAATTTAAATCCACATGGTAACCTGGAACGATATGAAAGGTATTTTCCAAACTCATTGATCGTAAGCAATGTGGTTAACAAGAGTAACCGGCGAGCGTCCGTTGATTTATTTTTATTCACTTGCAGTTAAGGCGCTAGTTAGGATGTCCCACAAAATGGACAATTGGATAAACTACTCATGTTCATTATTCGTACATTTATTTCTGAGAACCATGTTGGGGGCAGGCAAAGGGGGTACTCGGTTGAACAAGGGGTACAGTAGCCGCAAAAGGCTGCGAACCACGTTGACGTAGACGGCATTTGATCTCCGCTTCCACGTTGACGAGGTGTGTTGTAAGAGGTGGGGATAATCACGCTTTACCACCACCACGTACGACTCATTGATCTACGAACTGTGGTGAACCCATTTATACTCACGTATGGAGAGGTATTATTAAACGTTCTACCACGCTGGAATATGGAAGATGCAAACGTACCAGCGGCCTCTGGATTGCAAGTCCAGTGGGTTAACCATTCAACCACGGCAGCTCCGTGGTTAAACACACTCAGAGTTGCTTAATTATTTTGGGAATGACTTATGATTTCAACACAGGGGCCCCATGGTGCTGAAATGCTAACTGCCTCGCCTGATGTGCTACTTTGTTGAGCTATCAATATGTGGCCCTGTTACTTCTGAAAAAGAGCTATAGAGTTCAGTGGGTCTACCTGGAAAAATAAAAAAAACAGGATAGTTTTGTAGTTTTCTGATTATAGTCCAGTAGCTTGGAATACATATCAGGGATAGTCCAAGCGGTGGACAGTTCAAGTGGGGATTTGCAGCACCGCAGGCAGTGACACCACAGAATAACACATCTCAATGTCTCACCACTGACCCTGCCACATTCCTTCCACTTATCTCACTTTCCAGATCGTAAATCAGGAGGAGTTCGACTTTGAGACGAGCGAGCTGTACAGAGACATCATTCTGGTCTTGTGGGGCCCCCCTCCATATACCTGCACTGAGAAAAACGTGAGCGTTCACAAAACACAAGACTCCTTCACACCTATTACGCAACTCGACGTGAAGGTTCGGGAAAGGGGGCTTGGGTTCCCGCGGCTTACTGTGGGGGTCAGGTTTTGGGATCACCGGCGGTCCCTGGTTTGTGACGGTCCGATTTTTACAACGATCCACATTCGGGACGTTTACATAACGCCACCAAGGGACCGATTTACAATGCATCTTCCGACTCGACTCCTGAAGTATGGGGAGCCCTTGGGTCTGCATGCCACGGCATTCAATCCACAAGTCACATCCACAGACTCTCCGCCTTCTCCTCCGCCACTGCCTCGTATTGCCCTCCTCTAACCAAGCGTTGCCCTCTTCCACTCCAAAACGCTCCCTCCCCCCTCCCCTCTCATCCGAGCAGCAGCGGCAGTGGAAGGGCCATGTGAATATCACGTTCCCAGCGTTCGACGCGTACATGAAGCGCAGACGCGAGCGGCCTCGACAGCCGTTCTACCTTCTGCACCCGTGCTTCCGCCGGGGTTTGTGGGATCTGATGCAGAGCAACGTGGGGCACGGGGAGCACATCTTGGCAAACCCCATCTCGTCGGGGCTTCTGGGCAAGTTTTACGAGAAACGCGTGACGTGCTGACGGGCTGACGTGCCGATAGGGCTCGCAACGATGTCGCCTTTACTCCTGTTTAGGAGTCAGAAACGGGAAGGGTTTTTCTTTACAATTGCAGCAAAGCGCCTGATGAAGCTGGTTGTTCACATCACCAGCAAAACATCACACAGTACTCAAAGTTTAAATGTCGTGGGTTTAGTCTCCAACACACCAGTGTGCTGAAGTAGTAACTAATTGGCACGTTTTGTTAACGTGACAAGCCTTACTAATTGGCTGTCACCTGATGGTGAGTTAACGACACATTTATTTTGATATGATCTAGCCCATAATAACATTTATTATGAATAATATTGGTCGGTGATTACAACCAACTTCATCAGGCAATTAGCCAGAATTGACAGAAACAGGACGACTTCTGGGTTTAGTCTCCAACACACCAATGTGCTGAAGTAGTAACTAATTTGGCACGTTTTGTTCACGTGACAAACCATACTAATTGATTGTGTCGGGTGGTGGCGGGTTTCACGACATTTATATTTACGTGATCTAACTCGAAAAAAAAAACCCTTTTATTATAAACAACGTAATACTGTCCATAATAGAGGTTTTTGGGTTAGATCACGTAAATATATAAATGTGTCGTTAAAACCCGCCACCACCTGACACAGCCAACTAGTAAGGGTTGTCACGTAAACAGAACGTGGCCAATTCGTCACTAGTACAGCACACCGGTGTGATGGAGAGCCAAGCCACAACATTTACAATCTGAGTACGACGTTTCGCCAGTAATAACAACTAGCTTCATCAGGCGACAGCCAGATTTGTGGAGGAGTCTAACTGTTTCGTTCCTTATGTAGAGGAGTAGTGTGATGACGTCATGTCATGGGTGTTGTCAGGGGATACCTTCGGGAACAGGGGCGGGTCCGAGTGAAGGGGGAGGAGCCGCCCAAGGGATACTTAAGGGGAACCCCGTGACGAAGGCGTGGTCGTTGTGGGAGCCCGCAGCGTGGATCGGCTGCAGGAGGTCTCTCCCGCTCGTGACGGGACGGTGCTAGAGCCGAAGAGATAGCCGAGGTTAGGACGAGTAGAGCTCGGGGGTCCATGGGAAGGACCGAGTATCGAGAACACCTACCCCTGGTGTCAGCCTGAGTGTTTAAACAGTGCTAATGCGAAAGCCCTTACAAGAAGTTCCCTCTTGTAAGCGTCGTTCTACGACGCAACAAATATATAGAGGCGTAGATGTTGACCACGCTTCCGCGCTTTGTAAATGTTGTGGCTTGGCTCTTCAACACACCAGTGTGCTGTACTAGTGACGAATTGGCATGTTCTGTTTAGGTGACAACCCTTACTAGTTGGCTATGTCGGGTAGTGGTGGGTTTTAACGACACATTTATATATTTATACGCGATCTAACCCAAAAACCTCTATCATGGATAATATTGGTCGCAAAAGCCTACGTGTTAAACGTAATACTGCTTGATCTCGGTACAAATCAATTCCTGGCACCGGAACACAGGTGCCAATCCCCGGCCCGTCTGGGGGTCAAACGAAGTTCAAAGGGGTGGCAGCACTTGGTGCGACTCGCGTGTGCGGTGGTGGTTTTCTCAAGCGCCGCCACCCTCTGCCTCGTGGTGCTGCAGGAGTGGCGCTGATGATGAGCCTGTGCCAGGAGGTGACCGTCTACGACTTCATCCCCCCGCGGGGCCGTGCCTCGCAGCAGTGCCACTACTTCGAGCCCGCAAGGAACCCGCAGTGCACCCTGGGCGCCTGGCACCCCCTCATGCAGGAGAAGCTGCTGGCGATGCACCTCTCAAACCAGCCGGCCCAGCACGCCTTCCAAAGCGGGCGTCTCGCCATGCCCGGTCTGGCCAACCTCACGTGTTCCCCTCGGCACGGATAGATACGCGCGACCCTAGGGCTCCTTTGTCCGTATTACCCGATGTAGGGACCCTCTGATTGAATGTATCCACGTTGCAGTTCAATCGAACGATGATGATGACAACTGCCAGGTTTGGGAAATCTTACCTGCCCGGTCTGGGTGAACTCACGTTCTCTGCGGTGAGCATTGTGGGCCACAGGGTGCACCGTGGTAACAAGTGCCTCGTCTATAGAAGTACAGTACAGTAATACCTCGATATGCGAAGTGGTTGTGTTCCTGGAGCTTCGTAATATTGAAACTTCATACAGTACATTATTGATTTGAAGCTTTCGTGACTGCAGGAATCCACACTTTGGTTCTTTCGGTAAAGTCACGTAGTTAGAAATAAAATCAAATAAAACTAATTTTTATTTTATTTCGACCTACGTGACTTTACCGAAAGAACCAAAGAGTATGAGTATTCATACATTATACTATGAGTGTTTAGAGCATTACCATTTCATGCTATAAACACTTCGTAACTTATCAATCACGTTGTAAACGGAGAACATTTCTATTGAAAATAATGTTTATACTGCACAGGATTAACATTAACAATTGACATAAGTAAGAGAAATATAGTGTGCTGTAAAATATATTCACACTTGGCATTGTAGTCTTGGGTGCAGTCATGTTGTCTCCACCAAACACCATAGCTCCGTCGATGGCTTCATATCGGTATATTTATTGAAATTGACTTAACATTTAGCTATCTGTGTAAAATAATGGTAACGAATACAAAGTTCATCATACCGAACTTCGTTCGTCGAGTATATGCACATCGAGATATTAACTGAACGTGGGTTTGATTCGTGACTCGGGAACCTTTTTCCGTGTGGACTTTCCTTGTTCTCGTCGTGCTCTGTATGGGTCTCCTCCTGGGTTCTCCGGTTACCTCCCACAGTTCTAAACACATTCAGTGTCTTTGGGCTTGGCCAAAGAGCTAAATGCAGGACCCTCTTGAAAAAGTAAGCGAACTTCCGCTGAGTTAAATATAATCACGTACTTGGTGGGGGAGGGGTGTAAAGTTTATAACACCAGACTTGCTGTGCAGAGGTCAATTCAAATCGCACCTCCGATTAGCACGGTTGGCTCCGTACCCATACCAATTAACCCCTTATTAGTGTCTACCTTATTACAGACCAGTTTAGACATTATTGGTCACCCCGTGCTCTTATACATATCAATGTTCATCCCAAGGACGTAACTATAATATATATTGGGGGGGGACTCATCCCCCCCCACTATTCAAATATGCTCAAAATGTCTCCCCCAATATATTGCTATAAAAATTTAAAATAATTGCGATGCTATGTAAATAAAAACTTTGCTAAAGCTTGGCCACAATATCTGGACTTGTCTTCATATAACAATGCATAGATTTCTGTTTATATGGTTGTGGTTATGGTTGTACTTTATGAATCCCTAATCAATGAAACAAGGTAAAAAAATAAAAAAGCAGCAATGTAATACAATACACTATTAGACATTATTGTAAAAAATAAAAAGTCCATCCCATGTGTTCGTGAAGTTTTTTTTTTATATTTTAGGCAGTACATGGCAGGAAATTAGTTTTAAAATTTAGATTTTATTCTGGGGGGGGGACCCCCAGACTCCCTGGAAGATTTGGTCCCCCCCAATGTTCACTCCATGGCTACGGCCTTGGTTGATCCTACAAGGTTCCATCACAAGAGAGAAACACAAACAAATAGACAAACATTTTTTTTTTTGCTCTTATTCAAACGGCTGTACACCGTGTGGACCTCAAAACTACATTTCCCAGTACCGGAATATGGGTTAACCGTATCAGTTGACCGCCTTGTTCATGCGTTCACCGGTAATCTTATCTTATGTAGAATTTTTTTAATAGCTCTGTTATCAAAGCGCTCTACAAGAATGAAAATGGTGCATTAGTTATTGGCTGATGGGGAAAAGGGGTGTAATTTGAGTGTTGGGGAAAAGGAGGGATGCCAAGGAAGGGTGTGATAGGGAAAGGGAGGGCTGGCGAGGTTAGAAAGGGGGAGAATGGTGAAGGTTTTAAGGACGAGGGCATGAAGTAGTAAAGGGATCCGCTGTTGAGTGGGAGTTTATTCAAATGGAGGGGAGCGAGGAGGTAGAAGGAGCGGAGACGTGACTGAGCATAGGTAGGGGGAGGCGTAGTGATGGATAACAGAGTTTGGACGTAATAAGAAATAAGAGACGTGAGATAGGGTGGGGCAGAACCACGGGGCGATTGGGAAATGAGGGTGAGGAATTTGAATAAAGAGTGGTAAGTAGACAGGGAGCCAGTGGAGTTGGGGAATGGGGTGTGATATGGGAGATCAAAAATAATCCGGGCCGAAGCGTTTTGAATTTGCTGGAGGGGAGCGAGGACAGGAAGATCACGAATAAAGGAATTGATGAGCATTTTAGCAGCGGTAATTGAGTTGAGGGGGCGAATTTTCAAGATGTTGATATGAAAACGACGTCCATGGGCTACGGTGGCGATATGTTTGGTGAAGGAGAGAGGGACCAAAGGTGACCCCAAGGTTTCGAGCAAAAGGGACAGGAGTGCAACAACAACATTGGTGCAGGACTCGTCGCTAGACAGGATGGTGACCCATTGTCGAGACTAGCGAGGGAGTCGCTGCCAAGGGAGGTGAAGGCCAATAAACGTAATGTAATGCGAGTGGGGGCATCTCTGTGGATTCGAATGTACAATGCACCATCCCCAAACCCAACACCGTCCAGCAGTGGATAGAGCCGTGGCGTGCGCCTCTAACCCAGCTGCTTGGAGGAGCCGTGGGTTGCGGGATCTCTTGAGGACGGGAGAGTCCTGCGCTGTGAGGCTCTCTATGCCGACCGGGCGTCCGCACCAAGTTCGGTATCAATATGGTGAGCGATGGGGAGCCCCCGCTCACCAGGTTGTTGTTGTTGTGCTAAGGAGGGACGAACCGGCCCAGGCCGTAGACGGAGCAAGCCAAAGACCCCGAGCCGATCAGCGGTGGGACGGCGCCTGTGTCGAGACCTCCCAGGGCATCCGCCCGACACAGCGAGACCCAAATCCTTCTGTCCATTCACGCGACTTTTTAATTCATTCCTGGCCTCGAGTTTCATTCACATTCGTATTGACACAGACGCGCACGCTCGCATAGATCCTCACAGCGCAGGACTCTCCCGTCCTCAAGCGATCCCGCAACCCGCGCCTCCTCCAAGCAGCGGGATTCGAGGCGCACGCCGTGGCTCTATCCACTGCTGGACGGTGTTGGGTGCGGGATGGCACGGGGCTGGAAAGCGCGGCGCGTCCTGGTTCGACTCCCCACCGCGTGATCGTCGCTCAAGCGCGGTGCGCTCACCGATCGGTTTCCGAGTTAATAATGGGAATAAGAAATAGTCATACCCCGATTTACGTCTTCCCCCTTTTACGACGTTTCGCAAATACGTCGTCACTTTATTAATACCGCCGCCTGATTTGCGTCGCCTCCAGCCACACTTTCATGTCGCTGACGGCGTCGTCCGCCCTTTACCACGTCTCCGTCGCCTCTCGCCCACCGCGTCCACCGACTCTGTGAGTCGCTTCGATGGACGTAGCTTCCATGTTCGTGTCGGCACCTTTCAGGAACGCATCCCCGACGTTAAGCGGTGTACTGCTGCGTGGACTGGAACGGCTTTTGCTGTTGTGCTAATGCCTTTCCCAGGCTTACTGATTGATGTACTCATGCAATTTGAACTTAAGTACTTCACATATTAATTTTTTCTGTTATGTTATCTTCCTCGCCTGGTATGCAGGAGGTCAGGGGTTTGATCCCGACCCTAACGCCTGTATAGTTGGGAGTTTGCATTTCTCTCTCCGCGTGGTTGCGTGGATTTTTTCTCTCCGGGTCCTCCGGGTTTTCCCTCCACATTAAGAAACATTCATTTAGATTATATATTGATGATTTAGATTAGTTTGCTGCTTTAAATTTGCACATGATGACCCGCTTTTTTGAGCTACCATATGTAGCCAGGTTGGTTGTGAAAATAAGCTAATATCTCAATGGGTTTCACCTGAAAAAAATAGTTTAGTGTTATTTGTATATGAATATTTTTCAAGTGATGTGTTCACCTTTCTTCTACTTTGGACTCCTATGGTGTTTTGGTATTGTTTGTTATTGTAACGTTCCTAACATGTGGCCCTACAGGAACAGCTTCATAGCTCATCGGATTCCTCCAGGATAAATACATATTCTGATTCTATTTTTATTTTATTATGTTTTATTTTTAGAATTTTATTTTTAGAATTTTATTATTTCCCTTCTACGTGACTTTACCGCAAGAACCAAGAAGATATTCTGATTCTGTTGTTAAAATTAAACCTGCTTGGGTAGGACGGGATAGTGACCCGTGGTCGAGACTAGCGAAGGGAGTTGCTGCCAAGGGAGATGCAGGGCCCCGCAGACGTCCACTGTGGAGATGGAGCAATGAAATCAGCTCGCGTGCACTTGCTAGGGTAGATTGTAACATCGAGGGACCGTGAGAGACGGATGACTTAAAGCGGCTTTTATTCAGCAGTGGAAGTGAGCATGGACGATAATGATGACCACGATATCAATACGCACGAATATCAATACGCACGTAATCGTGATGGTACCAACACAAGTAACGTTACAGTCACGCCTCTTGCAATGATAAACAGATGGCGATGCGACCTGCCACCGTCATAATGCGCTGTCGAGCAACTCAATTACAGCGACATTTTACCATTTAAATAACAATTGTTAAATAGTTATTCTGCCGTTATTGGATCCTAAAGCTATAAGGGGCACTGACAAGAGTTGTGTTTCTTATATAATGTGGCATTTTGTTGCAATGGCAAATAAAACAAACCTAATGCGAATGTGCGAGTCTGTGTCGATACTGAATGTGAATGAGACTCGAGGCCAGGATTGAAATGAAAAGTCGCGTGAATGGACCCAGGGATCCTTACTCTTTGGTTCTATTGGGTAAAGTCACGTAGGTGAAAATAAAATAACATTTTCACCTACGTGACTTAACATTATTTTCACCTACGTGACTTTACCCAATAGAACCAAAGAGTATGGATCCTAGCAGTCACGAAAGCTTTAAATCTAGAATGGACCAAGGGAGTTTGCGTTTGAGCCCGCGGCCTTCTCGACTGCAGCCGCCTTGTGGCAAGGGTTGGGTATTGCACTCTTGCTTATTGTGAGCCGTGTGGTGCCTTATCACTGTACAGGATTGCTGTCATATTATTATTTTAAATTAATTAACTTACATTTCATATGTGGAGACTTACACATGACATAACATGTTATACTGTACCGTAACGTATCCTGTCTCGCGACGAGTCTTGCACCGATGTTGTTGCACTCCTGTCCCCCTTTGCTGGAAACCTTGGGGTCACCTTTGATCCTTCCCTCTCCTTCGCCAAACACATCGCCACCGTAGCCCATGCACGGCGTTTTCATTTCAACATCTGGAAAATTTCCCATCTCATCTAAATTTCCGCTGCTAACATGCTCATCCATCCGCTCTTCTTGTCTCGATTACTGCAATTCCTCCCTTCGTGGTCTTCCCTGCCTTCGCTCCCCTCCAATAAATTCAAAACGCTTCTGCCTGGATTATTTTTGGTTTAACACGTAGGCCTTCGCGACCAATATCATCCATAATCGAGGTGTTTTTGGGTTACATCGCATAAATATATAAATGTGTCGTTAAAACCCGCCACCACCCGACACAGCCAGCTAGTAAGGGTTTGTCACGTAAACAGAACGTGACCAATTCGTCACTAGTACAGCACACCGGTGTGTTGGAGAGCCAAGCGACAACATTTACAATCTGAGTCCGACGTTTCGCCAGTAATTACAACTAGTTTCATCAGGCGACATCCAGATTTGTGGAGAAGTCTAACTGTTTGATTCCTTAGAGGTGTAGATGTGGTGACCACGCTTCTGCGCTCTTGCACAAAGTGGGGGGTGGCGGTGATTAATGAGTCAACGTACATTATGCATGTGCATTATGCGAGCCCTTTGATCTTGTCCTTCCTGCCTACTGTGTATTAAAATAGCCGCATCAACGGTAATCCCTATTGAAGTATGCCACACTTTATAGGCATGCATTTAAATAATGTATTATTTGATTATTCGCTTCCACGCAGCACTAAGGCGGTAGCTGTCCGAATGGTTAAATTTTTTTCTTTCAATTTCGATAGATTATCTAATTAATCTTGGCTAGTAGTAGCTAGTTTTTCACAGAACTTCAACATTTTCAAAATCAATTGAGTGTGCTTGTTGGCACGCGTGTTCTGCTACTGCTTACAATTGTATTTGGGATAATTACATTTTTCTCTGATGTTCTTTTAGTCTCGTGCTGATAATTCGTCCTGTTTACCCAACATAACATTTCCCACGCGTGCAGTTATAGCTTCGGTAGTACATCTTTTGTACCAGATATAAATTTCTGTATTTTATGTACCGTGCCAAATCTGACTCGGATGTTTTGTTTTTCCAAACGTCTGGCTAGTTTATCAGTTACTCCCGCAATGTACGGTATTTTGATCGTTTGAATTACTTGGGCAGTTTCAATTCTCGTGTTATTTGATTTGGTTTTGGCATTCAGTGTCCTGTTGATTTGTGCATCGTTGTAATCATTCATTTGCAGCGCTTCTTTAACATGTTGAATTTCAATTCTCAGACTGTCACCATCTGACACTTTCTTTTCGATTAATGAGCGTCTTGATAAGAGCAGATTTCTGTGCGGGGTGATGGTATGACTCTGCATTCAGATAGGCGTCAGTATACGTTTTCTTTCGGTAAAACTGTGTATTATTTTACCATTTCGACCCCGTCCGAGAAGAATATCCAGAAATGGTAGAATTCTGTCAGCTTCCACTTCAAATGTGGATGGATGGGTTGTGCGAGTTGAGATGATTTATAAATGCGTTTAGTGTATCTTTGCCTTGTGGCCAGACCACCAATGTGTCATCCAATTATCTAAACCAAGCAGGTGTTTTTAGTGTGCTTGAAGCTATTGCTTTTGTTTCAAAATCTTTCATGTACAAAGTCGCTATCACGAGAGACAAAGGAGAGCCCATTGCTGCTCCTTCCTTTTTTCATAGAAGTCACCTTGCCACAAGAAGTAGGTGTTATTTAGACGTTGTTCAGCTAGTCTTGGGATATCTTTGGCTAAACCTTTGTTTATTACCAGTGTCGAGTAATTGAATTGACTCGTTGACCGGAACCCTCGTGAACAGAGAAGTAACATCAAAACTTACGAGAACATCATTAGGGTTAAGCTTAATATCTTTTATTATATTTACGAGATGTTCATAGTTTTTGATGAACGAAGCGGTCCTAACGATGTGGGGCTATATTTGTTTCGTTACGTATTGTGCTGATTTGTACGTGGCAGAGCCTATTGTACTAACTACTGTATGGGTCTTAATGGAACATCAGGTTTGTGAGATTTTGGTAGCCCATAAAGTCTTGGTGGTTTTGAGGCCCTTGGTTTGATCAGGTATTGCTCTTCCTTGGGAATTGATGACTTGGAAATGATTGCCGTTGTTTTACCTTCCAAGGTGCCGGTTGGATCTCATTTAATTTTAAGGTAGGTACCTTCACCGAGTAACTCTTTGGTTTTATTATCGTCGTCCTCATGGAGTAGCACAACAGTTGATCGGCCTATATCAGCAGCAAGAATTTGGATATCTTTATTTGCTCTCAGTTCTCTGAAGGCTTTTGCTTCACTGAAGTTAATATTTGTTTTTGGCAATTTGCTGTTCTCAATTATTTTGGCAACCTCCTATCTAGTCATCTCAGCTTGATTATGAGGGAGATGTATAACTGCTGATTCCACTTCAGCAATGATCTCATCGACAGGGATTGTACGTGGGGCAACAGCAAAGTTAATACCTTGAGACAGGACTGAAATCATATCGCTGGATAATTCAACGTTCGTCATGTTGATAACCGTTTTGTTTATAAAATGTTCATTTTTAGTTTAGAGTTGTTTGTTAGTCAGTCTCGCAAATTTGTTCATTTGGGTAGTGTTAGTTTTCTTCAATACATTATCAGCGGATTGCTGTGTAATTGTGTCGATTATATTCCAGTGATCTGTAGAGACGCTGTTAGTCATTTTTACGTGTAAGGATATTAGTGATTTAGAAGTGTGACTTGGTTCACTTCTATATATTATATTCACTTCTATCCCACCCCATTTCCTTATCAGCCAAAACAATTTTTCATTCTTGTCAAGCGCTTTGATAAAAGCCCTATAAATAAATCCTACATGAGATAACATTACCGGTGAACACATGGACAAAACGGTGGAGCAATAGGTTATCCACACCTTTCCACCCATACGATTTACCCGTATTGTTGTCCAGGGAAATGGAGTTCTCAGGTCCATACGGCTTACAGCCGTTTGAATACGGGCAAAAAAAATGTGTCTGTCTGTTTGTGTTTCTCGCTTGTGATGAGACCTTACAGGATGCACATTGATATGTACAAGTGCAAGAGGTGACCAATAAGATCTAAATTGGTCTGCAATAAGGTAGGCACTGATGAGGGGTTGACAGGTATGGGTTGTCGGTGTTGTACACGTATAGAAATGCATATCGCCAAATGTATTTCTTGTTTGTGTATGCATGCAGAACTGCTTTTGCACCATACGTAGCCAACCGTGCTAATCGGAGGTGCGATTTGAATTGACCTCTGCACAGCAAGTCTGGTGTTATAAACTTTACACCCCTCCCCCACCAAGTGCATGATTACATTTACCTCTGTAGCATTTCGCTGACGTTTTCAAGAGGGTCCTGCATTTAGCTCTTTGGCCAAGCCCAAAGACACTGAATGTGTTTAGAACTGTGGGAGGTAACCGGAGAACCCAGGAGGAGACCCATACAGAGCACGACGAGAACAAGGAAAGTCCACACGGAAAAAGGTTCCCGAATCACGAATCAAACCCACGTTCAGTTAATACCTCGATGTGCATATACTCGACGAACGAAGTTTGGTATGATGAACTTTGTATTCGTTACCATTATTTTACACAGATAGCTAAATGTTAAGTCAATTTCAATAAATATACCGATATGAAGCCATCGACGGAGCTATGGTGTTTGGTGGAGACAACATGACTGCACCCAAGACTACAATGCCAAGTGTGAATATATTTTACAGCACACTATATTTCTCTTACTTATGTCAATTGTTAATGTTAATCCTTTGCAGTATAAAACATTATTTTCAATAGAAATGTTCTCCGTTTATAACGTGATTGCTAAGTTACGAAGTGTTTATAGCATGAAATGGTATGATGAACTTTGTATTCGTTACCATTATTTTTCGCAGAAAGTTAAATATTAAGTCAAATTGAACATACCGAAATGAAGCCATCTATGGAGCTACGGTGTTTGGTGGGCAAGACAACATCATGACCGCACCCAAGACTGCACTGGCAAGTGGGAATATATTTTACAGCACGCTATATTTATTTTACTTTCATCAGTTTTTAATGTTAATCCTGTTCAATATACAATATATAATTTTCAATATAAATGTACTTCGTTCAAAACGTGAATGATAATTTATTAAGTGTTTATAGTATGAAATTGTAAAATTGAAAGGCTGGGAACGCATTCGCATAGTACTAATGTTATAAATTATTCAATGTATGAAGTTTCAATAATACAAAAGCAGCTCCAGGAACGCAACCACATCGCATATCGAGGTATTACTGTACTGTACTTCTATAAACGAGGCACTTGTTACCACGGTGCACCCTGTGGCCCACAATGCTCACCGCAGAGAACGTGAGTTCACCCAGACCGGGCAGGTAAGATTTCCCAAACCTGCCAGTTGTCATCACCATCGGTCGATTGAACTGCAACGTGGATACATTCAATCAGAGGTTCCATACATCGGGTAAGACGGACAAAGGAGCCCTAGGGTCGCGCGTATCTATTCATGCCGAGGGGAACACGTGAGGTTGGCCAGACCGGGCATGGCGAGACGCCCGCTTTGGAAGGCGTGCTGGGCCGGCTGGTTTGAGAGGTGCATCGCCAGCAGCTTCTCCTGCATGAGGGGGTGCCAGGCACCCAGGGTGCACTGCGGGTTCCTTGCGGGCTCGAAGTAGTGGCACTGCTGCGAGGCACGGCCCCGCGGGGGGATGAAGTCGTAGACGGTCACCTCCTGGCACAGGCTCATCATCAGCGCCACTCCTGCAGCACCACGAGGCAGAGGGTGGCGGCGCTTGAGAAAACCACCACCGCACACGCGAGTCACACCAAGTGCTGCCACCCCTTTGACCTTCGTTTGACCCCCAGACGGGCCGGGGAATTGGCACCTGTGTTCCGGTGCCAGGAATTGATTTGTTCCGAGATCAAAGTGGTACCACGTTGTTTATAAAAAAGGTTTTTTTTGGGGGGTTAGATCACGTGAAAATAAATGTGTCGTTAAACCCGCCACCACCCGACACAATTAATTAGTCAGGTTTGTCACCTGAAAATAACGTGCCAATTAGTTACTAGATCAGCACACCGGTGTGTTGGAGACTATACCCACGACATTTACAATTTGAGTACTGTGTGATGTTTTGCTGGTGATGTGAACAACCAGCTTCATCAGGTGATTTTCTGGAAATGTGCAGAAAAACCCTTCCCGTTTCTGACTCCTAAACAGGAGTAAAGGCGACATCGTTGCGAGCCCTATCGGCACGTCAGCCCGTCAGCACGTCACGCGTTTCTCGTAAAACTTGCCCAGAAGCCCCGACGAGATGGGGTTTGCCAAGATGTGCTCCCCGTGCCCCACGTTGCTCTGCATCAGATCCCACAAACCCCGGCGGAAGCACGGGTGCAGAAGGTAGAACGGCTGTCGAGGCCGCTCGCGTCTGCGCTTCATGTACGCGTCGAGCGCTGGGAACGTGATATTCACATGGCCCTTCCACTGCCGCTGCTGCTCGGATGAGAGGGGAGCGGGGAGAGAGCATTTGCAGTGGAAGAGGGCAACGCTTGGTTAGAGGAGGGCAATACGAGGCAGTGGCGGAGGAGAAGGCGGAGAGTGTGTGGATGTGACTTGTGGATTGAATGCCGTGGCATGCAGACCCAAGGGCTCTCCATACTTCAGGAGTCGAGTCGGAAGATGCATTGTAAATCGGTCCCTTGGTGGCGTTATGTAAACGTCCCGAATGTGGATCGTTGTAAAAATCGGACCGTCACAAACCAGGGACCGCCGGTGATCCCAAAACCTGACCCCCACAGTAAGCCGCGGGAACCCAAGCCCCCTTTCCCGAACCTTCACGTCGAGTTGCGTAATAGGTGTGAAGGAGTCTTGTGTTTTGTGAACGCTCACGTTTTTCTCAGTGCAGGTATATGGAGGGGGGCCCCACAAGACCAGAATGATGTCTCTGTACAGCTCGCTCGTCTCAAAGTCGAACTCCTCCTGATTTACGATCTGGAAAGTGAGATAAGTGGAAGGAATGTGGCAGGGTCAGTGGTGAGACATTGAGATGTGTTATTCTGTGGTGTCACTGCCTGCGGTGCTGCAAATCCCCACTTGAACTGTCCACCGCTTGGACTATCCCTGATATGTATTCCAAGCTACTGGACTATAATCAGAAAACTACCAAACTATCCTGTTTTTTTGTTTTTCCAGGTAGGCCCACTGAACTCTATAGCTCTTTTTAAGAAGTGACCAGGCCACACATTGATAGCTCAACAAAGTAGCACATCAGGCGAGGCAATTAGCATCTCAACACCGTGGCGCCCCTGTGTTGAAATCATAAGTCATCCCCAAAATAATTAAGCAACTCTGAGTGTGTTTAACCACGGAGCTGCCGTGGTTGAATGGTTAACCGACTGGACTTGCAATCCAGAGGCCGCTGGTACGTTTGCATCTTCCATATTCCAGCGTGGTAGAACGTTTAATAATACCTCTCTCCATACGTGAGTATAAATGGGTTCACCACAGTTCGTAGATCAATGAGTCGTACGTGGTGGTGGTCAAGCGTGATTATCCCCACCTCTTACAACACACCTCGTCAACGTGGAAGCGGAGATTAAATGCCGTCTACGTCAACGTGGTTCCCAGCCTTTTGCGGCTACTGTACCCCTTGTTCAACCGAGTACCCCCTTTGCCTGCCCCCAACATGGTTCTCAGAAATAAATGTACGAATAATGAACATGAGTAGTTTATCCAATTGTCCATTGTGTGGGGTATCCTAACTAGCGCCTTAACTGCAAGCGAATAAAATAAATCAACGGACGCTCGCCGGTTACTCTTGTTAACCACATTGCTTACGATCAATGAGTTTGGAAAATACCTTTCATATCGTTCTAGGTTACCATGTGGATTTAAAGTTTATCGGAGATATTTAATGTTGGCAGATTCATACGCCATTATTCACCAATTACTCTCACGTATGATATAAATTCTCGTATTAATACAAATCACCTCACGTACCCCCAGGGGACTACGTCAAACCGGATGAGAACCACGATTCTCGAGCTACCTCCTTCTGCCGGAGGTGGTGTGAGGAAGCAATTAAAAAGCTGCACTTTTTATTCACACGCTGGGAGAAAGCGTCACAAAACAAAAGTCGAACAGTCCCCGATGTACGAACGCATTCCGTCCCATGGGGCCCCAGCTCGTAAGTCGGAACACACTAATGTACCGTTTTTAAAATTCACATCGGGCCAGTGTTACTTAAATTTGTTACGGTTCAACAAAGGGAAGCATTGTTCAACTCACGAATAAGAAATATCGTAAATTTGCATGTCAAACTGGATCTGGTTCCGTGGTTCGGTTCGCAAGTTCAGGTTCGCAAGTCGTGTGTTCATAAGTCGGGGACTGCATATCAGGTTCAGGCTCCGAGCGAATTCCTTATTTACGATTATGATGAGCCAATAATGTCTGTGTGTCTCGCGCGTGACGTCACAATACGTCGACCAGCCCTCCTCATTAATAATCATGTCCCGCGCGTGACGTCACAATACGTCGACCAGCCCTCCTCATTAATAATCATGAGCAGGTGACGTCCTTCACATGGACCCCCCCCCCCCTCATTAATAATCATGAGCAGGTGGCGTCCTTCACATGGACCCCCCCCCCCCCCTCATTAATAATCATGAACAGGTGACGTCCTCCAATTGGACACCCCCGCCATTAATAATAAGCGGCTGACGTCACTCCACATGGGGGGAGGGGGGGGGCGAGGCGCCTCCGCCCCCCTCCTCGACGTCAACTGACAACCCTCACTACAAAAGGCAGAACCCTCACGTCACGTGATCTCCGTAACGCTATTATTGAGACATTAAAGTAAAAAGGACGTGATGAACAAGGGAGTATAACCTTGAAATTAAATAAGTCTGTGTCACCGCTTCCTTACAAATTGCACACGAATTGATGCAATGAATCTATCACGTCGCGGTCTGCTTTTCCCTTGCAAGTTTCAGATTTACTGCAATACCCCCGTCCTTGGCTAGTTCCAATACAACAGCTCATTTGCGTTGCAATACCCAGCCACTCCGACTCACATCAATGATATTGCATCTTCCAGGGTGGACAATGGCAGTGGCTATCCAAATCTGGATTTACCCACAATTCCCGGAATCAGGTCACGTGAATAGCAGCCCCGCAGCCGCTCACAATACGTTTCATATACAGGGGTCGCACGACGTACACACTCGCCAGACTCTACCTTGGAAGAGGTGTGGGTACAAATGCTGAACCCCACCACATACGACCTGGCAATCAACTGTCATGTAGTGTCTCATTTAGCCTGTTGGGTGTACATGGGTGCGGAGATTCAAGACACTTGTCGATTTGTCTTTCCCTCGGTCGCTTCGGGGTGGAGTCATTGACATGCTAATTTATCTGCTCCAGCAGCAGCCACCAGCAGACCCACCACTTATCTCTCTGTCCCCCCCTTCTCTCTATTTAAGGCCTCGGCACAGAGGCGTTGGGTCTCTGTGTGTCTATGTTGTGTGTCTCTCTCTGTGTGTCTGTGTTGTCTCTCTGTGTGTCTGTGTTGTCTCTCTGTGTGTCTATGTTGTGTCTCTCTGTGTGTGTCTGTGTTGTCTCTCTCTGCTTGTGTGTCTGTCTGTGTGTCTCCGTGTCTGTGTTTTGTCTCTCAAATTTAGTTCTACCTAATGACGGTTGCTTGTGTTGCAATCGAAGCGTCGTATTTTATTATTTAATTTATTTTCTACGTGACTTTACCGAAGGAACCAAAGAGTAATTCCTGCAGTCACGAAAGCTTCAAATCAAGTTTAAACTTGTCGACCGTTTCAACTTACGCGCTGGGATATCAAACAGGCGACCTCTGGATTGCAAGTACAGCTGTGCTAACTTTTACACCACAGAAAGTTTATACCACGGTCCTCTGTACGTAAAGAATAATAATAACGACGTATAGCCCTTCGTCAATCCACTGTTGTATGTAGGCCTCTGCATTCTGAGTTAATCGTGAGGGTTGTTTGACCATACTTCACCACAATGGTAAGTGTCACCCGTCCCCTCCTCTCACCCCCCATTTCCATTTTTTTACGAGTAATTATGCCGTCATTAAAACGTAATTTTTTAAAGTTCATTTTGTGGTAAAGTGTCAGACAATGGCAATACAAACTGGGCCATGCTTTTGTTTCTGTGCATTTTCTATGCCTGTAATTGTCTATGGACGTCTGTGAAAAAAGAGCTTTATAGCTCATAGGATTCCTCCAGTGGAAATAAATATTCTTATTCTCTCTCTTTTTTAAAACAAATGGCTCACCAATATCCTCCTTAGCCCCCCCCCCCCCAGTCCCTTTCTATCCCCGGTGCTGTGCGGAGAAAATAATTCACATTCAGCACGGGGCGTCAAAATACTTCGGCTATATTTGCATACTGTTTGGCAACACATGTGCGCTTGGGGCAAGACACATCACTTTAAGGGCCAATGGTCCATAAAGAAGTGACGGCCAAGGAGCTCAACATTTTAGACAAATACGTCTACCGGGGCAGCGGCTGGAGGTGGTGGTGGTTGTGGTGGTCAAGGTACGGCTATGTAATCGGCAGGTGCTGGGTGGATTGTTAACATCCTCAGCATCGTGAGATGGCAGCGGATTGGGGAGGCTTTCATCCAGTAGCGGATTGATCATGGCCAATGATGATTTTTCAGTGAAGAATGCCCCCCCCCACCAATGTTGGCTGAACGACCCGTAGAACAAATACTTATGTAAGCATGTTGAACTTCTTTCACACCGTACGTAGCCAACCATGCTAATCGGAGGTGCGGGAAATAAGTCTAGTCAAGGGATGCTTGCATACTTTTAAGGAATGTTAATGATATTATTAGAATACGTATTTATACTGGAGGAATCCGATGAGCTATGAAGCTGTTCCTCACAGATGTCCAGTAGGGGCACGGGGTCAGAACGTTACAACAACAAACATTACAAACACACGATAGGCGTGCCATGTGTCGGAAAGGTAAAAACAAATATCTTACAAATATTACCACTAAATTATATTGATCTAACCAGTTAAAGCCCACTGGGAGGGATTAACTTATATTTCAGAAGCGACCCCGGCCACAAGTGACAGCTCAACAAAGTGGCGACCTTACCTGCCAGTTGATGAGGCGAATGGAGGTCTTGGTGCCCACGTGAAGTTCATAGCCGGCCGTGGGTGCCGAGTTGAAGCGCATGACCGCGTCGTGGCCATCTGGACGAGCGCACAAGTGGACACATTCCTGCTTCGAGGTTTAATTCGTTATCCTGTCCGTAACTCTCATGGTGAAATGTATCACTCAGTTGGTTTTGGTGATCGAGTAACGTATTATCAGTGGCGCACGAGTACAAATAACAATTGCCAACAAGACGCAGTTGTAGAGCCCCAAGACGCAGCTGTATAGCCCCAGGCTATACAGCTGCATCCAGCGTTTGTCCACGCGGAAGAACTTCCTCACCCCCCACCCACCCACCCTTCATCCCGCTCCGATCCCTCCTCCTCAGTAGCCCTCCCACCCCACCCCCCCGCCGTCTCCTCACCGATCTCCGCTCCCAGCTGAGCGCGCAGCAGGGAGCCCGCGTTCATCACCACGGCGCATCGCCGCCACCTCCCCGCCAGCTGCCGGGCGAGGGACACCGCGGGCAGCGCGTCGCGCCCCGGCGCCCCGGCCGCCCGGTGGCACCGCAGCACCTCGGTGCCGCGCCGAGACAGCTCCCGCAGCGCGCACAGCAGCTGCCCCCGGGGGGGCGTCGTGCCTGCGCCGTCGCTGCGCCGACGGGTCCAGCGCTCCCACGCCCGGGTCATCTCCACGTGCACGGGGCCCGACGGCGCTCCGCGGGACCCTCCCGGCCCCTCGGAGGGCGCTTGGGTCCTCCCGTCGGTCGGGTCTCGCGCGCGGGGGGTCAGGGGCGCCGTCGCTCTCCTGGAGCCGGGCGCCGGCAGCAGCAGCAGCAGCGCGAGCAGCATCAGCAGGCAGGTGGCGGTGACCGTGAGAGCGAGGAGTGATTTGGGACCCACCCGGAGCCACATGTCCGCGGGTTCGCGCCACGGCTGCGATGCGAGAGACTCCCCACGTGGCAAGGCGCGCGTCTCACTCCGTGGGTCAGCGCAGTGGGCGCGCACGAGACAGGGGGAGGGGGGTGAGGTCAGCGGTGGGGGGAGGGGTGGGGAGGGCTTGAGGAGCCGCTGGAATCCTCGGCAGGAGACGCGCGCAGCCCTCGCAGCACGCGACTCGTTCGCCTCCCGTGGGAGAGCGGCGCGCTCATCTTCGTCTGCTTTTTGGTGGAAAGCGCACGCCTATTTCTCCACCATCGATTCCACGTGTCGCGATCTGTGTTACACACACACGGGTGTAGTTTATTCAGGGGGTTGGGGTTTGTCAATAAGTAATTTGGAGAAACCTTGCTCGACCATCACGCACACGGATACCAATAGAACAGAGCAGCGGGTGATGAGGAAGACCCGGTGCCACTCCCGTTGGAGTAAGGCCACCTGAAATTGGTGAATTAATTCGAAGGAAAGATTTAGGAGTTTAAAAGGGGGTCCCGTGGGGCTTGTGGAGGTCGAAGCGGTTGCGGGCTGGGCTGGGCTCCGCTCCATCCTGGGCTCCGTGCTGCGTTCCAGCGGCTGTTGTATGTAGCTTTTTTAATGTATTTTAAATAAACGCATTTATGACGATGAACTCCGAATCTGCTCCTGTCGCTCTGGCGCGCTCTGAGCCGACCGACCACACAACACGCGGGCGGGGGAGTCGAAGAGGCGACGGGATGAGATGTCCCCGTCAAGACGCCAAGTCGAGCTCCAGAGGTACGAGACAGTTCTGCACGTGTCGCCAACGAACCCGTGCGGCTGATGGGTTTGTGTCAAAAATATTTGTATATATATTTTCACATGTGGAGGTACAGGTATGTGGCAAGAGGGAGATTGATTGTTGCGTCTCTCTGGCATCGCGCTGGGGTAGGCACTGGTCGCATGAGTGAGCGCCACGCGCCGCCTCCTCCTCCTCCTCCCTCGGTGTCCCAGCACTCGCCACTGCACGTGGACGCAACTGAATAATTTAGTTCTCCAATATCATTGTTAAAATAACGAGTGGGGGTTTTTTTCATCTTGATTTCGAGTTAAGTCATCTTTTTTATCCACTGCTGGATGAAGGCCTCCTTCCCCCGCCTGCACCCGCCGATTATAATTATCACGGTTCGCTACGTACGGTGCGAAATAAGTTCAACATACATGAACTCACCTCGTCAATCTATCTCCATGCAGTTAGCAAGCTAGTTAGGATACCTCACAAAAATGAAATTTGGGTTAAGTATTAATTTTAATTATTCGTAAATGTATTTCTCAGAACCATGTTGGGTCAGACAAGAGGGGTGACTCGTTTGAAACTAAATTCAACCAGGAGTTACACAATATAAAATAAATCACTATTTATTTTATTCTATACCTACGTGACTTTACCGATATAACCAAAGAGTATGGATTCCTGCAGTCACGAAAGCTTCAAGTCAAGATTGAGTTACACAGTAGCCAAAACAGATTGAGAATGACCACTGCTAACACACTAGGGTACGCCTCCAGGATTGTGAATCGGCCGTCTCTCCGCCACGACAGAAAATCGGAGTCACTGATCCGTCCATCGGATTGAAATCGGTCCTGGCGGTTAGACATTCCCCCTCGCTGCATTACAATAACAGCCACCTCCTTGCTCCGTCGCTTGATAGCATGGCCACCACCACCATCACTCTCTCCCAATTTTGTTTTACTGCTTAAATCTGACCCCCCTCCCCCCCACCACGCTACCTCCCCCCCCTTATTGAAACCGATAAATGTACCACAACAAAGTGTACTGTCATTTTGCCAGTCATTAAAAAATCTGCGAGCAGAAGTCCCATCACAACTGAGCTTTTGTACATGCGGGGACGAAAAGATGGCAGCTAGTAAATTTGTTTCAAGCCACGTGGTGTTTTGAAAATTAATTTTAAAAGAAATGCTCACATTTTGATAGAGAATAATATAATAGTTGAGGCCGTTGTCACCCGCACACGACTTGTGGGAGGGTACGGATATTCGCGCACAGCTAAAGACTTGACAATCACTGCGGTTTCAACATTTACAATCAGATAATGTGTTTGGTGTTTGCTCAATATTGTGCCAAAGTCCATGATGTTACGGCACATACTGCGTTCTTGGCCGAGCATTAAAGATAAGAAAAAGCAATAAAAGGTTGCGGCATGACACTTAGGAAAGGTCAAATTCCACCCGGCCTTTCTGAATACAAGGACAGGTCAAATGTGTTTGCTGTGCTTCTTCCCAAAATAATCTATGTGAAAGAGGTGCATTGTATTACTTATCTATTTATTGCACTGCATTGATAATACCACACTTCGTATCATCAGCGGAAGCCTAAAGTCCACTCCACTCTCATGGCTTCCCGTGCTGGCGAACATCGGCTCCAGCCAACATCCGGCGTGATGCCGCGACGTTCCGAGAGTACAAGATCTTGGAAAACTTCACCCGGCCGCTCTACCCAAGACGTGATGGAACTCCCCCACTTCCTAGGCTTCAATCCAGGAAGCCATTTCTGGATACGCGCCTCTACTGCTCTGGCGGCTGAAAATATAGACACGGGCCACTCGATGGTCTGATGTTCATATTTTGTTTGTTGCGGTTGCACCCGACTCACGAGCCGCATGGCTCACAGGGCTACACACCTAATACATGAAACTTTCAACTTGGGTGGTGGGGCGGCTGCAAACACGGCAAACAAAACCATCGTTGAGGATCCGACCGTGTAAGTGCCGCGAGTCTCCCTCTCGTGACGGCTGCACCGCACGCGGACGCAGCACGGGAGATGTGGCGTCGCACCACGTTGTTCCGTAATGTGGAAAGTAAAAGATTCACCAATCTGCCACTTTGGTAAAGCCCAAAACATCAAACGCATCGCCGACGAGTGCAACATCCACGCCACACATGTTGCTGACGTACATGTTGCTGACATGCCATACGAAAGAAGATCTGTTTATATCAAAGGAGGCGATGATTAGCGGTATGTGTTGAGCGAGGCGGACTATGCTATTTATTTTTGACAATATTCTTGGATCGCTTCTTAGACACGGTGACTCTTTTGTGTGTGACGGCCTCACTCGTGGGCACGCTCGACCCTTCCCTTTTTCCACCACCGAGATCAGACCGACGAGGTTCCAGCCCAGTCTCAAGGGCCCTGTGTGAGGTTTCAGGGTTATCCCCTCCAAAATTGGCAGAGTAGGGGGTGCACAGCTGCTGGTGCATCTGCCAGTCGCCTCAGTCGGTCGACCCATGGCACCACGTGGGCCTGTCTGTCCCGTGACCTCCTGCCATCAGCGAGCCTTCGACACTTTGCGTCATAGCCTCGAAGTGCACCTAGCCTGGCACTGGCGCCGTGGTGACGTCACCGCCACTCAGCGGCAAATGGCGGGTATTGATATCCCCTGCCAAAAGGCTAAATTGGCGATACTCAGATATTGCCGAGTCCTCCAAAGAAGGCCCATCAGCGCAAGAAGACCCAAACAAGCCACTCCTTCAAGTTTCAAGTTTAATTTATTAGGTAGAGCCCTGTGAACCATGCCACTCCTGAACACGGGACGGGAAGTCCAGTCACAACTAAGGGTTTTTTTTCTTTCTCGCAATAATTATTCTCAATATCACTTCCAAAATAAGTCATGATGGAATGTCAAATAAACCACGGGACAAGTGATACAATGTCTCAGTTGCTTTTTTGTCTTTTGAGCCATGCATCTATAAAGATAGCCAAATTGCAGGGTAAAAGCATTAAGGCAAATAAAAAAAAACAAGTACTGTAACTGGACAATTTTAACACCTATTAGTAGGCCTTAGTGACCAATATTCATAACAGGGTTTTTTTTTTGGGGGGGGGGGGGTCAGATCACGTAAATATAAATGTGTCGTTCAACCTGCCACCACCTGACACGGACAATTAGTGAGGGTTGTCACGTGAATAACAACCGTCGCTACTGAATACAGCGTCGCTACTGAATACAGCGTCGCTACTAAATTCGGCGTCGCTACTGAATACAGTGTCGCTACTAAATACGGCATCGCGACTGCATACGGCGTAGCGACTGAATATGGTGTAGCGACTGAATATGGCGTAGCGACTGAATTCGGCGTAGTGACTGAATTCGGCATAGCGACTGAATTCGGCATAGCGACTGCTACCTTAATTGCTTTTTTTTCAAATGTAGACGCATCGGAAGTTGCTCAGAAGTTGAAAGGCGATATCGGGAGCACGGGGGGGGGGGCTGGTTCACATTTAAAGAAGGGCGTACGTGCCCAGGGTGCGCATTTATCAGATCACTGGCGAGCTCGCGGCTGCATGAGAGACATTTTGTCTGCTCCTTAGGGTCCTGCGAGAGTTATATTACTGATTGGTACGTGTCACGTGTTACAGGTCGAGCCGTATGACAAACAAAAAAACTACCGACACATCGTGGCAGTTATTTAATTTCGAGACAAACGTTAGGCAAGTGCAAGAGCCTGAAGGTGCATACACTTGAAACAATCTATTATCGTTCTCAAACCGGTGAGGCAGTGCAGTATGTTAACAGCGTAGTATGTTAACAGTGTAGTATGTTACCAGTGTAGTATGTTAACAGTGTAGTATGTTAACAGCACGCTGGTTATCTTGAGTGATGCTAGGAACAACATAAATTATTATTGGTATGAACTTTAAACGTCTGTTTTATATGCACAAAGAACAAGCATGCGCCATGACCAGAGGAATACCATTGTATTGGATGTAGGGCTGTGAACATGATTGCCAGGTGAGTCGCATTAGGAACGAATATCCACCGAGGGATTACAGAATGAAGTGTTGCTGTGTGTATGCTCATGTATGTTGAACTTCTTCCGCTCTTTACGGAGCCAACCGTGCTCATGCAGAGGTTGGCAACCTGCGGATCTGGAGCCGCGTGCGTCTCTTTAAGGATTACATTAGGGCTCTCAACATATTGAGGGGGTGGTTTTTATACTGAAATTCGAAAGAAATGGCTCTTGTTAGGTTGGTGACCCACGGAAGTCAAGTTCACCACGGAAGTCCATATTATTT